TTCAATCCCTTCAATCTTTGTTCAACGTTCTTTTGTGAGTTGTGTTCAAGGGTTTGACTCTTGGTATAGAAGGTCTCAAGCTGATCCTAATGTTATCTATGGTGCTCTTGTTGGTGGACCGGACGAGAATGATAACTATTCCGATGACCGCTCAAATTACGAGCAATCAGAACCAACTTTGTCTGGAACAGCTCCACTTGTTGGCCTATTCGCTAAACTCTATGGTGGAAATTTAGGTAACTAAACAATAATCATTGAGCTCAAAGTCTTTAGCTTTACCCTTATGGAATCATAAAGTAATGTAATGAAATTTTGTAGGATCTTATGGAGGAGGGTCATATAAACCTTATGTAACTACAAAACCACCAGGTTTGTTCTTTTTCACTTACAGCTTCCAATACAACTTCTCTACAGTGTCTGATCCTCATTTCCTCTGAAACTGTCACAGTTATATCCTACAAAGCAACACCGACAACATACAGTCCAAAACAATCAGGTGCACAAATCGAGTTTCTTCATTCGATAACTACCAACTGGATGGCCGGGAACACAAGATACTATAGGCATAAAGTGATCATCAAGAACAATTCTCAAAAACCCATATCAGATCTCAAGCTTAAGATTGAAGATCTCTCAGGACCTATCTGGGGTTTAAACCCAACAGGACAAAAGTATACTTACCAGCTTCCTCAATGGCAAAAGACTTTGAGACCAGGACAAGCTTATGATTTTGTCTATGTACAAGGTGGTCCTCAAGCTAAAGTCTCAGTTTTGAGTTACAACTAGTTAAAGAATACCCTTTCTGCTTTCTTTTTGTTTATGCTTCTTATGAGTGAAAGATGTGAAAATAGCCAACCAAGTTGAGACTAAATATGAGAAATGTAAATTTGTGTCCCTTCGTAGAGAATGCTTTTTGTCTAACTAATCATATATAAGGCTCAAACTTAGGTCAATAAAATAATGATAGATGAAGATAATGATTTAACACCCAAAGCACTCAAAATTGAGATTAACTTAACATTCAGACAAATTTAAGGTTCTGACAGAAACGTAACTAGAACAAAAAAGAAACGAAACAATAAAAGGAAACGAAGTATCACAAGTTAACAACGTAAGAAGAGACTTTTCTTCTACAGAAGCTTCTACTCGTAATCACCGAAGGTAGTCTTTTTACCTGCAATATATATCAAGAATTAATAACATGTTAACTTGTTATAAAGAACCTAGAAAAACATGAATCAAGAACAATTTATCTACCTGAAAAACTAGGTTTTCCACGACCACCATCTCTTCCCCTGCCACCACCACTGCCAAAACGACCACGGCCTCCATCTCTTCCCCTGCCACCACTGTTACCAAAACGACCACGGCCTCCATCTCTTCCTCTGCCACCACTGTTACCAAAACGACCGTTACCCCTTCCAAATCCACCACCACTGTTATCTCGTGGTCTAGGCTCATCGACTACCAAACTCCATCCTCCCATGTCACTTCCATTTAATTCCAACGCCTTCTCTTTGCCTTCTGAAAAGGCGACGTAAGCAATACTGAAAAGATAAAAACATATTCATTTAGTTAGCATTAAACTTTCAATAGACAAAATTTACAAACTGGTGACAACTAGGAGAGAGTAAAAATAACAAACCCTTTGGAGTTGCCAGTATCACGGTCCATTGGAACAGATACACTTTTGATCTCTCCACATGAACTGAAATGTTCAGTCAAAGCGTTCCTGATATCATCCTCAGAAAGTGAAGAGTCAAATCCCTTAACGAAAACCTTTTTTTCATCACCACCATCACCACCACTTTTATAGTTGCTGCAATAATTTGAATAAGAGAAGATTATCAACAAATGGAACTTTCTTGCAGAAACAAATCTCCAAATCATGGAAAATTAACATACCCGCTTTGTGGAGTGTATGCAGGTCTCTCGCCTCTCTCACCTCTCTCCTGAGCAATATCAAGACGAATCTCACGACCGAGCAAAGGCCTACCGTGGAATTCCAGCGCCTAAAGTACAAAGGATTTAAATCAGCAATTGTAGAGTCGAATGATGACTACTAAAATATTCTCATTCATAAGTAAAAACCCTCACCTTCTGTGCTTCTTCGGAAGAAGCGAACTCAACATGGCCAAATCCCCTGAAACTACCATCATCTCTATTGGTAGAGAATCTAACATCAACAACTTCACCAACTTCTTTGAAGAAATTCTCGCTGCACATTGAGGATAAGATACCAGGTCATGATAAACTCTCACCAAGACAAGAGATGAAATCGAAGGTGTTGGGTACTTACACATCTGATCTTTCAATATTGAAAGAAAGATTGGCAGCAAAGAGTGTCTTTGATCCACCAGCAGCAGGAGTGGAAGGTGTCTTTGGCTGAAAGTCAATGCATTGCATAATAAACAAAATTAACTTCAACATAACAAAACATAAAAGAAAGAGGCAAAAAGATGCTACCAGAAAGGGTTCATACCTGTTTAGCACTTGATTTCTCAGCATCAACCATTTCTACATCAGAGCTCTGTTTTTATTACAGTAAAGTGAGATTCTATCAGCAAACAGGAAGAAACCATTGTAGCAATTATAACATTTGCGAAAAGATATCAAAGAGTGAGAAACCATTGCTAGCACCTTTTTCATTGGGGTTTCTTTCTCGTCTTCACTCTCAGATTCCTCAGATTCGCTAGAATCATCACTACTGCTCTCCTTTTTAGCAGTCTTAGTATCAGCCTTCTTCTGGGTAGGTTTCTCATCTTCACTTTCCTGCAAATATCAACAGACACATGGATGATGTCAATGACTGATCTATAGAAAATACAAAAGCTGTTTGAAAAGAATCATAAACAAATCAAATCAATTATGTTAAAGCTAACCTCATCAGAATCTTCTTCTGATGAATCTGAGGTGCTTGCAGCCTTGGTAGCAGCAGGAGCTGCTTTCTTGGTAGCAGGCTTCTATTTTAATTAAAGAAGTAGTTAGAGATCTATTTGAACACATACAATTAAATTAAACAAATACCAACTAGTTTCAACAAACAGAAAACTGAAGATATAACAAGTACGAGATAAAATTTATCACCTCATCCTCAGAATCATCATCTGAGTCCTCATCAGAGGAAGAAGAATCTTTAGCAGCTGGCTTGGCAGTCTTAGCAGCTGGTTTCTTTGCAGGTTCCTAATTATTTTCCAATCAATATTGTAAATTAAATGTTGTCCAAAAGATAATTCTAAAGCATCCTACAAAATACTTATGAGATGCTTACTTCTTCAGAAGATGAATCATCTTCAGACGAACTCTCAGCCTTGGCCTTTTTAGCAGCAGCAGCAGCAGGCTTCTTGGTTGCAGCAACTTCCTGAAATTATTGGTAACAGCCAAGAGCCAACTGTGTTAGCACAACTCTTATGAAACAAGACATAAACTTCATAAGAATAAGAAATTAACCTCATCTGACGAATCATCATCAGAAGATGAGTCATCCTTAGACTTCTTAGCAACAGTTCCGTTAGTGGCAGCTACGGCCTTCTTGGATGCAGGCTCATCATCTGAAGAAGAGTCATCAGATGAGTCATCACTGCTTGAAGCAGCCTTCTTAGCTGGAACTTTCTTAGTCTGTCAGATGAATCAAAAGCATATTAGAAATTACTCAATTCAAATGCTCAAACCACCAAAAATAAATTAAGATAGTAAAAGTTATACCTTCTCATCTTCCTCAGATTCAGAATCTGATGAGTCAGAGCTCTCAACCTTCTTAGGTACCTTCTTCACAGCTTTTTCCTTCTGAACAGCAGCAATCACGTCTTTCTTCTGCTTCTTAAGACTCACTTTAGTATCAACATCATCTTCAGGCTCTCTTTTACCTAAAGAGAAGCAGCAAACAAAGTTTTTATCAATAAAAACTTCAATCTCAACATTAAAGGTTCCAAATTCAACATTAACAAGTCATTATACTACAGAGAATAGACAAACAAAGCTTATTGAATTCTATGACCACATATATTCTCACACCAATGAATAAAGACCTTAAACGTTCATGAATCAAACAAATTAAACAACATATTCCATCAGCTATACCAGAACAAGTAACATAGACATAAAAATGCAAACTTTCAATACCAAACTCGTAATGTAACAGAGAAAGACAGAGACCAAATCATCTAAGGTAAAAGGACACCAAAGTTCATACCTTTCTTCAAAGGCTTAGTGGCAGCAGGAGCTGCAACAACCTGAAAACACGAAAAACACACAATTCAAAGCTCGTTAAAATCGTCAGACCAAACAGGAACACAGAGGATCGAGACAAGAGTAAGAAGAAAGCCTTAAAGGGGAGAAGAAGATTACTTTGGTGGCGGATTTAGACTTGCCCATGGAGAACTAAGAAAGAGACGACTGCTAGGTTTTCGAGAGAGAGTTGAGAAAGAGGCGAAAAACCCTAGACAGCTGCGTGAAGATATTTATCAGCTTAGGGTTTTAGAACATGTATTTATAATCAATTTGATTCTTGTTCGGGGTATAACTGTCTTTTCAGCTTTAGACATCTAACGGTTGTGTCTTCGCGCGGGTTAGTTGATCTCTGCCGTCCACGTGGAAATTGTCTACCTATGGTAAAGAGATTTCTTCTTTTTGTATTAGTGTCAAGTGGCAACGGTTAGAAATAGGTCAAAGCGAAAGAGTAGCGCCTCCCTCGCTGAAATGGGCTCAAAGTTTTAGTGGGCTTTTTTTAGTTGGTTGGGTTTTAGTGGAACATTATTTGTGTGCAAAGTCTTATTATAGTCCATTTACTTTCTGTCTTTTATTATTTGAAACAAATTAGAAAAATCAAAAATATAAGACCTATTTTTTATTTTTATTTTCATTTTCTCTAATAAACCATTTTTTCTCACTATTTTAGATCGAAATCAATGAAAAAACTTGATGAGGAGTGTGTTAATCAGTTTTTTTCCGTGTGAATATGTTCCCTTGTAAGGATGATATATTATAAAGAAGCTAGCTATTTTTCTTTTCTTTTGATATATATATGTTAATCAAGACTAAAAAAACATGAAACATGATGATTATCGTTTGAAAAGGATTATTATCTAACTAGCATTGGTTCAATTATATAAATAACTTTACATTTATCTATAATAGTTATTGACATGAAAGCTTCTGTTTCAAGATACACAATTTTGTTTCACAAGAAAACGAAAACAGAAAATACACGAGGGAGCTAGTAGTCGAGTTTGTAACTTATAGCAAATAAGCTATCACTATGAATGTGTTTTTGTATGATAGAGAGGATCGAGAAGGAAGCTGCTGAGATGAACAAGAGGTCTATCAAGTACGCATGGGTGTTGGACAAACTTAAGGCCTAGCGTGAACTCGGTATCACTATTGACATTTCTCTCTCAAAATTCGAGACCAGCAAGTACTACTGCATAGTCATTGATGCACTTGGTCACCGTGATTTCATCAAGAACATGATTACTGGTACCTCCCAGGCTGACTGTTGTCCTGATCATTGACTCCACCAATGATGGTTTTGAGGCTAGTTTAATTTCGACAAGGATGGTCAGACCTTTAATTTGCTCCCTGACACTGAGGTAAAGTCTATTATGATGCTCCACGAGTCTCTTGTTGAGGCACTTCCTAGTGAAAATGTCGGATTCAATGTCAGGAATGTTGATGTCGAAGATCTTAAGCGTGGGTACGTCGCGTCAAACTCCAAGGATGATCATGCTAAGGGTGCTGCTAACTTCACTTCCCAGGTCATCATCAAAAACCACCCTAGTCAGATTAGTAATGGTTACGCCCAGTGGCGGATCCAGAAGAATTATTAGCCTAGGACACATATTATATATATCTAATAATTATATTAAAAATTTGCAGTAAAAATGAGTAAAAAAAAGCAATTGGAGGCATCGAACACCTTACCAGCCATAATAACAGAGCATAAACGTTACCAACTGATCTAACAAAGAACCATGAGAAAATGATCTTAATAAAAATTAATAATCAGTGTCGGGCACGTGCCCCAGTACCTCACACCATAGGTCCGCCACTGGTTACGCCCCGGTTCTTGATTGCCACACCTCTCACATTGTAGTCAAATTCTCTGAGATCTTGACCAAGATTAACAGGCGCTCAAGTAGAATTATTGAGAATGAGCCCAAAGTTTTAAAGAACGGTGATGCAGCTACGGTCAAGATGACTCCTACCAAGCTTATGGTGGTCGAGGCTTTCTCTAAATACCCACCCTTGAGACGTTTCACTGTTAGGGACATGAGGTAAATTGTTGATGTTGGAGTTATCAAGAGTGTTGACAAGATGGACTTATCTGGAGCTATTGCTAAGGTCACCAAATGATGAGACTCTCTTTTTATGGTTTTCTTATGCGTTTAAACTTTGATGGCCGTTTGAGCCTTTTACCATCATTGTTTTCTCTGCGATGTTTGCAATAAAGTTCTTAAAAATAAAAGTAAATTGAGATTGACCCGCAGTACACTAAAAGGACGATTTATTTTCTAAATTTTGTACTTTTTAAAATTTTATGATTATGTATCATATATAAATGTCTGCAAATTGTATCATTTAAGACATTTCAATTTCATAGTTTACAATTGTCATTAATTAACGGTATACCACATGACAAATTTTGTTTTATACAATCTTAGCTAAATCAGGTTGATTCAACATGTCTAAAATTGATGGTATTAAAAATAATAAAATGAGGATTTAACCCGTATTCAAACTGTGGGTTAATGATATTTAAAAGTTGTATTAATATTTATTCAAACCCGTTCCGCCATATAACCCCGTCCCACAGTATAACTCGTCCCGTGTTATTTTAATTTTTTATATGTTCTAATATTAATGATAATATAAATTTTTATCGATTTAAATATATCAGTTATAATATTTTTTTAAATTTAAGAGTTTAAAATTTACTACATTCAATAAAATTAAACAGTTTAACTACAAACACGAATTAAACCATATACTAATTTTTAAATTTGGATATCTGTTAAGTTAAGCTTTCTGCTCATTCGATTTGGATTCATTTTGATCTTATTTATAATTGTAAGGTTGCATGAATTGCAACATTTTATATCCAAAGTTTTGATTTCCATGATCAACCATGTAGAAATGTCAATTCATGCAACCTTACAATTATGTAATAAATGAAAATCAGATAGAAGAATTTTTTTTTCCAGAAATGTCAATAAATCTGGAATTCAAATTAAATATAGTGTACCTATCAACTTATATATTCCACGTTTCAAATATATCTTCAAGGATTGACTTGTTTATGATTTTTTTTTCTTTGAAAAAATTCATTACGTGAAGATATAACTAGGTGATAGCCCGTGCTATCGCACATGATAATTAATTCGAACAATTATTTATACACTAAAAATATATATATATAGAAAATTTACATACTTTTAAACATATTTCACCTGAAATCATATTATATATAAGAGAATCTTAGAAGTTTCATATTATATATGATCGATGTGGGATAAAAAGATTTTAAAAAAAATTAGTCTCAATTTTTACTTGCATATTACGATATATAGAAAATACTTATTTTTACAGTTTTTAATTAAGTAAAATTTAAGTTTAAATTTTCCCTTAATGTATTTTATTATATAGTATTTTTGTGATTAAAATTACTAAAAATATTTTCGTAACAACATGTAAGTAACAACAAAACTCATAACATGTTTCCTAATATATATATATACTAGATCATGACCCGCACGTACGTGCGGGGTTTCATATTTTAAAAAATTTCTAACAAATTTTAATTTAGTATAGATTATTTTGTTGTTTTTAACTTTTTATGATATATATTTTAGTGTATTAGATCTGGATTCACATACGTGTAGATATATTTTTATATAAATCGTTATATAGATTTTTAAAATATAAAATATTTTGTTGTGTTAGTGAACTTCGTAATAGTATAAATATTATAAAGTTAGAGTAATGAACAAAATTCAGTTGCGTTAATGCATAATTATATTTTAAGATCTAGATTAATTTGCAAAAGTTAAATGGTGTTACATTTTTATTTTCTTAACTAATCTAAACAGTCCTAACAGTTTGATTACATATGTTAAATAGGATATGAATTTGATTTTAGTTTGGGTTATTTCATATATATTAGCTAGGCGTAACTATTTTGGAACATGAAAATATACCGTCTGGTATCTGTCATAAATTCTTTGTCCCATAACCTGTCACGTATACGTAAAATAAAAATATTATGGTCCCATATCTGTCATAAATAGAGTATGTGTAACTGAAAACGTATGTGTGTAAACAAATTTATTTTATGTAGTGCTCATAACCCGAACTCATGCCAGTTGGATATTTAGTTTGATTTTTAATATATGTTCCCCTCCCATCTCGTCTCGTAATATATATTTTCATTTTATTCCATTAAAATCATATTCCAAATTCTTGTTTGCTTACCTTTAAATACCATACAATATTACAATATATATTGTGAATTTTGCGGATTAATATGTATGCTGTTAAAGTTACAAATATATTTTAACAAATTTATTAATGATTCTAGTTAAATTTTGCATATTTTTCTTTTCATTGTTTAATCATAGTTAATTCGATTTTTGGGACTAAAATTAAAACTTGAGATACATCTATAAAAAGGATATGTTATTGCTGCATAATTTGTTTTGAATGCAAAATATATAATTAGTTCACATTATTTTGAAAACTGTGTGCAATATATTATGGATCCGGTTGAGAAGAAAAAAAAAACACAAAATATTTCGAAATTAAGATGTACAATCTTTTGTTTAGCTATTTCCAAAACCTTCTCTAAACGAATGCCATAATGATAATTACTTTAAATTTATCATTATTTGAATTTATTTCATAGTAAATATAAATATTTGTTAATATCTAATATCGTTTTTTTAGAAATTTTGAAACAAAAATTTGTTTTATATTTCAAAATTTGTGAAAATATTATAACAAAACTGAGTCTTAAATATTTGTATTTAATATTTTTACGAAATTTCAAATTCAATCTTAAAATCCTCCATTGATAAAACTTTTTAAACGATAGTGTTTTTAATTTTGAATTATAATGTTATTATTTTTCTTTTTATTTTTGATATGGAATAGTTTATTAGGATTGGTTTAGATAAAATTTTAGTTGGATATCAAATCTTAGTTTTTTAATTCTCATTGGTTAACAACTTTTTAGAAAAAATATTAAATTTTTGTCCATAATTAATATGAGAGAGAAAGTGAGTTTAATTTTTTGGAAACTAATAATTACTTTAAAGAATTTTACTATTTTTTATTTAAATATATTATTTTGTGATTATTATTGTATCTTTAATGAATTTATTTAAAAACAAAAACTAATGGCATTTTTGTAATACTTTACACTTTATAAGGTTATTTATGTTTGAGTGCTTCCCAATTAATAGTATAGATAGATATATATATAAGATAGTTTTTATATTAGCAAAAAAATTTGTAAAGCAAAGTCATATATAGTGGGTTTCATTCTAACGATTTTAATTGTAGGAAATAATATTTTATGGCTCAAAAACATTATATAATAAGAAAGTTTTTGTATTTAAATAAATTAGATTAGAGATTAATGATTTCTAATGACAATATTAAAATAAACAATTACTTCATTGATTATAAGAGAATTTATTTTCCGGTTTCAATTTAAAGTTTAACAACTTAGAGAATAATTTATTAATGATTTTAATTTCCTTTGTAGTTTAGTTTTTGAAATTGAAAAAAAAAAAACTAACTAACATAAGCATGTTATGAAAGACCTCCTAAAAATTTTATAAGTAAGGTACGTAGGGAAAATAGCCAAAATCAACCCCAACTATTTCCATGGGCTTTTTTAACCCAAACTCTGACCCCCTCCACTTATCAACCCGAACTCACACAATTTTTAAATAACAAACTTGAACTATGTAATTGTTAGCCAATTTCAACATATTTTTTTTTTTGTATTTGTGAATATCGACTAGAATTGTTAAAGTCGTAATTATCTGTTCTTTTTATCTGAATTATTTCTTTTATTCAGTTGGCTAAAGGTTACATACTTCAGATTTGTTACATTATATAATAAGGGGTATATGTTCAAATTGGCTAGTGGTTGCATAGTTCAGGTTTGTTATTTAAAAATTGTGTAAGTTCGGGTTGATAAATGTAGGGTTATAGTTTGAGTTGAAAAAAGTCGCATGAAAATAGATGGGGTTGATTTTAGCCGTTTTCCCAAGGTATGTACGACATAATTTTTCAACAACAAATAAATCAGTAGCCTTAACTATGCATGTTTATGCAATGTCACGCTTTAACTTGCCTAATGGAGTTGTAAGTTAATGACATAGAATCCCTACTAATGAACTTCTGGTGGGAAAAAAGTTCAAAGATAAAAGAAATTTCATGGATGGCTTGGAAAAGGTTACAATACTCCAAAAAAAAAGGTGGATTGGATTTCCAGAATTGACAAAATTTAATGACACTCTTTTAGCAAAACAGGCTTGGCATATGGTACAAAACCCTAAGTCACTCTTTGCTAGGTTGATGAAAGCACGATACTTTAAAGACGAATCAATAATACTGTATTGGATGCAAAAGCTCGTAGATACCAGTCCTATGGATAGCCGAGACCAAAGCCCTATTGGCATCTATGCAACAAACTTGGATACATGGATTCATCACTTTGGTAATTTTTGAAGGAGATAGCAAAGTGCTAATTAACACAATAAGGGGAGACAGCCAATGTAGTGAGATTGACAACTTGTTACAAGATAATTACCATTGGAGAGAAAAGTTAACATATGTTTGTTAAAAGAACTTGTAACAATGTAGCTCACCAGCTTGCCAAATTTGCTAGTAACCAATGCTGATATTTTTCAGATTCGGTAACCCTGTCTTATGGCTAAACATGTTACTACGTAACGGTTTGATTGATTAATAAAAGTGTTTTTGACGAAAAAAGAAAGAAAGTGAAATGCTTATTATTTCATGCATTTGGTTCATCACCAAAAATTACATCAATTAACATGACAAACTACAATAAATGTGCTTTAATTCGTAAATCACATTTATTGTAGTTTGTCATGTTAATTGATGTAATTTTTTGAGAGGGTTGGCCGCATACCTGTTGACGCCACCACG